TTGCATCCTTGTCTGGAAGCTTCAGACTCAATTCATATACCTAACCTTTATTTTTTTATTTTTTTATTTTTATGTGAGCTGTACAATACAAAACGTCACAACAAATTCCAAAAAAAAAAAAAAAGAAAAAAAGAAGAAGAAAGAAACAAAAAAAAATTCAAACATAAGCCCACACAAGGAGAGTTTTGTTGGGAAAAAATTGGCGCGTGGAATAAATAATTCCTGTGAATAAAACATGTGAACAATAACAAAGAACGGTGAACAGGCGGCTTAGCCGACCAATATAACGGTTAGTGAAAAAGACGGTTTAGTCGACTAAGCAAAATAAAATGGGCGGTTCAACCTGCCACTTATGAAATATAAATAAAATGGACGGTTCAACTAGCCACTTAAGTGGGAAAATAAACAAGCAAAATAACACCAAATTTTACGTGAAAAAACCCCCAAAAAACTATTGAAGGAAAAAACCACGGGACAAACTCCGAAGAGTATTCCACTATATGATAAAATTGTACAGAGTATACACTCAAGTATTTTTCTCTCTCTTAGTGTTTCCCACTCTCCCAGGATATGATCACAATCCTGATAAACTCACAATGTTATCACTCAATGTACTCTTTCTATGGAGCACTCTTACACCTAAGCTTTTAATGCCTAGCTCTCACCCCCTTTTTTTCTTTTCCCCGGAGCCCTCTTTTTGCTCACTTTGGTGCTGCACTCTTTGCTTCTTGCTTTCGCTTGCTTTTGCCTTGCCATTGCATGGGTATTTATAGGGTAAAAAACCCAACTACCCCGGTGCAAGTTTTCTACCTCATTAAATGAGGTTCATGTACAATGGTTGAAATAACCATTGTAAATTTCCACAATGGCTGCTGTAGCTTACAGCCTCTTGCAATAGGCTGTAGAAAAATGGGCTAGAACTAGAAGCTTCTGCCAACAAGTTTTTGGGGCCTCTGCAGAAGATTATTCATACAATACAAAAAGCAAAGAAAGCAATTAAAGAGGGTTCATATCTGCACTGTATTGCCAATTGTAGATATGCTTAAGATTATATGATAGCTGGGACCTATCCAGACCATAGATGTGTGTGTGTGAGGAAATACCTTGACATATGTTTTATTCATCGCTTTTGGATTTGTTCTCCCCTTCTCTAGAAGTACTGATCAGAGATAGAAGAGCTTCAATGGCACCTATCTCAAGATCATTTTGTTCTTCCTGAAAAGCCACCAGCTCCTGTGTGAAACTTTCCACGCGCATTCCTAAGTGTCCAACTTCTGCAGTTTCATTCCCCTGTCCTGTTTTCTAGCATTGGTACCATTTTGATGGGAACTAATTGCTTCTATGTTGACAAAGACCTCTGCAGAAGTGCTTGGTCCATCTCTCATATTGACACTATTGGTATGCTATTGAATGAATGAGTGATGCATAACTCCTGGTAGTTGGTTGATGCTATTCCCTTGGCTCGTCTGTTGAAGAAAGGGGTAAAGCTCACCTAATTGTTGCAACATGATCAAGCCAAGTTCTACAGCGAACTCATGCCGGTTCTCCCTCGTGGAATTAATAGCTTCCAAGCCAGATTCCCTTTGTGCCATATCAAACTTTTGAGCAAGACTGCGGGCATGGGAAATGCAATTTATAAAAGTCTGAAAATCAAAGGAAAAAATTAATATTACTTCCATATCTTTGATTGCACAAAGATATAAGTCATTGTCCTTGATTACATCAGAGTATAAAATTAGGGTCATTTACGGTTAAAATTTAGGAATTTTCTTGATTACATCAAAGTATTACACGACTTTTGACTTTTTTTATTTTTTAACAAAAATAATAATTAATACTTAAGTTAAAAATTATTAATAATTAAGGATTCAATTTTTAAAACAAATGATTTCTCACCTTTTCATTGAGGCACGTTGCCCAATGGAGTTCATACACGACTCTTGACTTGTAAATGCCAAGAGACATGTCCTAGCCTCCTAGGAGCATTTAATGCCAAACAGCAAGCCTGGAGCCTAAGATTGACAAGACAGACTTGTAAT